TATCATACATTTCACAGATAATTTATTACAGTGTCAGTATGAAACCTTTATTGACTTTGCATTGAAAGCAATCATAGACCATTCTAAAGACATCTGCATTCACTGTTTATTTTATAGACATTCCCAAAAAAAGATTCATCCTTAGGGTTGGTCTGGTATTGAGCGGGTTTCTTCCGTGTGAGTGGATACCGCTTGACAACAAAACTTGCCTAGCCGAAATCCAATAAAATGTTGGCTTTGTGCTGTTCTTGGATTCTGTGCTTTCTTAATGAGATTGAACCCTTGACAGTATTAAAACGGGGTGAGCATTAATTGTCTGTTTATTTAAATGCACAAGTGTGAGTGTGTGTGTGCTTGATTAACAGCTTAAGTGGATCTGTCTTGAATAATAAGCTTTATGCAAAGATCGGATAGTACAGTGCTAAAGCAGGATCCTAAGAGAGCGGTACGGGAATCTTTGATGGGATATCACAACTTTGTCTAATTTACAAGGATGATCTGAGGAAGGAATTGAAGCAGAGTCTAAAATATCTCTCCTTTCTGTAATGATATGGTCCACATCACTCCAGACAGGACGTGATGTTGATATTCTCACGGCTTTTGCATGAACTGAAGCAGAGAGGCTGGAGTAGCTTAGTTAACCCAGCGGACTGATTAAGTGCCATTGTATTTCTTTATGAAACTCTTTGCTCTTATCTGCAGGTGAACACAGCCATGCATGAAGCCAAGCTGGTGGAGGAGTGTGATGAATTGGTGGAGATAATTCGCCAGAGGAAACAGGTCATTGCTGTCAAGATCAAAGAGTCCAAGGTACAGTTTCTCTCTATTAAGTCAGACTCGTATCAAGCACTTGAGACACATTTAGTAAGGTTTTTGATTTGCTTTTCAATTTATAAATTCTTTAAAGTTACGAGCTTCTTTCATTTTCACCTAAAAAATGGAAATTTCATCATTTACTCACCCTCATGTCGTCCAAGAAAATGTGTGTGTGTGTGTGTGTGTGATTGTGTGTGTGTGTGTGTGTTTTGTCCATACAATGAATATCAATGGGGCTCAGTGTTGTTTTGGTTTGGACCCCACTGACTTTCATTATACAGACAAAAACAGTTGAAACAATTGTCCATAACATCTTACTTTGTGTTCTACAGAAGAACAAAAGCTATACAGGTTTGGAACAACATAATAATGACTTTCATTTTTGGTGAACTGTTCCTTTAAGACGCACATATGACAGAGAAACTGTTTTTTTCAGAGCTCAGTCCTTCACTCACTTAGAGAAAGCTGTTTGAATTTGATTCTTGACAGTATGTCACATAGCGCACAAATACGGAGCTGGCATTTCTAACACATCTTTCAGATCATGTCACTACCCCTGTTATAGCAAGAGAGAGACTGTCAGGCTCTGTTGGACCTACGCTGTGCGGAGAGATGGGTGATATGTCGCCTGATGACAAGCTGGAGAAAAAGCTGGGAAAATCACAGCATATTTTCCCTTTGTGAATTAAAAACTCCTCTATTTAATCTGTTCTGAGTGAACGCTGAGGTTAAGCTGGTGCATGTGAGTAATAATGTGGCTGTGAGGACGTCAAATGGGGCTTTGGAGTTCTTGTCAGATAGTCCACAGGCCAAAGTGTGGTGGTCGTCGGGTGAGGGTGCAGTGAAGTGTAGAGATATTGCTTGAACAAGATTGTTGAATGTATGACAGGAAGCTTGGCTGGTTGATGCGGACTTGGCCATGTGGCTTCACTTAACAAGCTTCCCTTGTGTAACAGTAACAAGGCCTTGATAATCTTCAGCAGCACAAATACAGCACAATGAATAGCACTCTTCTCCTCTGGGATAGGATATAAAGAATAGACACTCACAAATACGATTAATACTAAAAATCACTTTTGAGTGCAAAATAAAAATAAATGGAAATGTTCATTTGCATTATAAAGACAAGGGGGCTTTTTAGTTTTGTGTTGCACTTGTAATTTAAAGCAAAACTAAACAACTAGAGATGTGTGTAATTTTATTGTGAATAAGGGATGTTTTAGCCAAAATTCAAAGCTCTTAAAGGGATAGTTCACCCAAAAATTCTGTCATTAATTACTCACCCTCATGTCGTTTCAAACCTGTGAGACCTTCGTTCATCTTCGGAACGCAAATTAAGATATTTTTGATGGAATCTGAGAGCTGTCTGACCCTGCATAGACAGCAACGCAACTGAAATGTTCCCAAGTCCAGAGACGTAGCAAGGAGATCTGTAAAATAATCCATGTGACAGCAGGGGTTCAACCGTAATTTTACGAAGCTACGAGAATACTTTTTGTGCGCAAAAGAAAAAAAAAGAACGACTTTATTCAACAATTCGT